ATATATGTGTAATAGAGCATGAGAGCTCTGGTAGCATAATGGTTACGAATTGGGTTGCTAACCTCAGGGTCAGCAGTATGAAACCACAAGCTGTTCTGCAGGAGAAAGATGAGGCTTTCTGCTCCGGTAAAGATTTACAGCTTTGGAAACCCCTATACAGGGTCACTATGAGTTGGAACTGACTCCAAGGCACATTACCATGACTACCATGTATATGTATATGTGTGTGTATATATAAATATATATATATATATATATATATATATATATATATATACACATATAAAATATAAATTAGTGTGTACCTATGTATCCTAGATGACAAATGAAGCAAAATTTTGTTTGCTGTGATGCTTACCAACATGTCATTTCCCTTCTTTTATTTTTATATTATTTGGCTGAATCAAAGAGTTATTTTGATTTTCCTTCTCTTAAAATTTGAGATGTACCCTACATAATAATGCAAGAGTCTCAGCAAACACAAAGCATGGTAAGAAATGGCTGTAACTATACCTGCTGTCTATGTTATTTTTAGTTGTAAAAACGACCAAACTTTTGTTATCATAACACACTGTTGTATCTATTTGAGAAATTCTGGACTCGTGTCTGAAAATGATTTCCTACAGAGTGTTTGACAAGAGGCCATGAATCATTTCCTACCTTTCAACGTCTCACTTTCTCTAATGAGAAAGGCTCCAGCACTGTTTCCTGGAGCCAGGAGCTGCCTTTCGGCATCTTTTCTGGTTATATCCTTGAAAAACCACCTGAAAAGACATTTTTAACATTTGATAGGTCTTACATTCTTGTGAAGGAAAGGAGCAAGAACAAGCCATCAGAGAGGACAGATTTGGGAACTCACTCTTCTGTCTCTAAGGTGTTGACTTTGGCTACGTAATTGCTGGGGATGAAGCCTTCTCTCTTTGTTGCAAGGGATTTTGCTTTCCACCACTCTCCATGCCTGAAATAGAAGCACACATCAAACAGTGTTTACATCCAACACTTAGTAGCCACAGTAGCTACTGTTTTAAAGTTTTTGTTTGCTTGGGGGAGCATGCGGTAGGTCCCTGGAACTACAGAGTCAGTGTAGGAAAACTCACTCTTCTTGATAAAAATAACAGTAAGTTTAGAAACTTAAGCAAATGAAAACAGTAGTACAATTTAAGTGTGGTTCACTATACTGAGTGTGGCATAAAACTAAAGTTGGTAGAGATAGTTCTTATCTTCCAGAAGCAAGATGCTTGAAAATTCTTTCAAGAAGTCTAAGAAATACTGTAGGATCCTTATAGAAATGGGAACCAAGACACGAAATGGACCATAATTCGTGTATAAAATGTTCTTTTATAAACACACCTAGTTTGCATAGAGACAGATATCATGGAGAAAAGAGAAGAAATCCATAAAACACTTCCAATGGGTAAGGTGCATCACCATGCTCTGTCATTGTTGCTAAGTGGTGTTGAGTCGGTTCTGACTCATAGCAACTCTGTTGCCAAGGAGTGGCTTTGTTGTTGTTGTTAAGTGCTGTTGAGTCAGTTCCGACCCATAGTGACCTTATATACAATTTCCAAGGCTGGTGAGCTTGCATTGCCAACCTTGTGGTTCAGACTGAATTTGCAGTCCAGCACATTAACCCAAAGTGTCACACCAGAACTCCACAAAAGGGCCATGGAGTTGGTGAGGGCCCATATTGGAAGGTGCAGGTGGGTCAGAGAAGGTGGCAGGGGTGGAATAGATCTTTGGAGCCTTAACTAAGTTCCTTTTCAAATTTCCACAAGCCGATCTTACCTACAAGATACAGAGGCCAACTGCGACTAACAGTTAGCCAGTTGCCATGAAGTCAATTCCAACTCATAGCAACCCCATGGGTATCGGGGTGTTGTTGTTGTTGTTAAGTGCTGTCGAGTTGGTTTCGACCCATAGTGACCCTGTACAGGGTTTCCGACGCTATAAATCTTTGCGGGAGCAGAAAGCCTCATCTTTCTCCCATGGAACTTCTGGTAGTATCAAACTGCTGACTGTGAGGTTAGCAGCCCAACTCGTAACCACTATGCTACCAGAGCTCCTTTATAGGGTTGATCAATGATTGATATTTTTAGAGTAGATCGTCAGGCCTTTCTCCAAAGGAGCCTCTGGGTTCTCCAAAGGAGCAGCCATGCATGTTAACTGTTTTACATCTAGCTGTTGTTAAGTGTTTTTGAGACATTTCAACTCACAGCAACTCCATGTGATATAGTAGAATTGCTTCATAGGGTGTCCTAGGCTGTCCTCTTTACAGTAGAAGCTCTGATGGTGCAGTGGTTAAAGTGTTTGGCTGCTAATCAAAAGGTTAGAGATTTAAGAAGGTTCATATTATCTCCACAGGAAAAAGATGAACAAGTCTGCCTCCTTTAAGATTTATAGCCACGGAAACCTGTCCTATAGGGTCACTGTGAGTCAGAATCAACTCTATGGCAGTGGGGTTTTTGTTTTGTTTAGTCTTTCTGAGAACAGATTGACAGGTTTTTCTCCCATGGAGCCACTGAGTAGGTCTGAACTACCCACATTTATATTAGCAGCTGGAGTGCGTAACAACTGAGTGACCAGGCTCCTTTGAGCTTAGTGACTGCTTCTTATATACCAGGCAGACTTACGTTTACGGATATTGATACACACTCATACACCTGTAATCCTCACATCTACTCCATGAAAAGGTATTGTCATATGTGTTTTATAATTGAAGAAATAAGCTCTAAAGTTTAAGAGATTTGTCAAGATCACACAGCTATCAAGTGGCAAGGCTGGGATTAGGCTTCAGTTCATGCTAATGTGTAAACTACACTGGTCTTGGTCATTCCAAACCTTACACTTTGTAAGTAGGTGTCCCTCCTCTAACCCTGTCTGACAGGTCAGGAAGACAATTACACAGGAAAATTAGGAGAAGCAAACTAGAATTAGAATACTTGTAGTTCCTGATTCTGAGTCCTATCCTGCGTCCCTGATGGGACAAAGGCCATGTGGCCATGTATTAGCATGGGGGGGGGGGGGAGTGGGCAGGAAGTGATGTCACCAGACAACATCACAGATAGGCTGCAACTGCTAAGAGGAGGTTTTTTTAATTTTTATTTTTTTTATCACCACTGGCTGCTTTTCACATCATCCTCATACACCAAACCCAGTGGGGTTCATAAATGCAATTTGAATTTGAGTATAATTTTTTAAAAGGCATTTAAATATTTTCATTAAAATGTTAAATTAACCAAATAAATTTTTAAATGGCAAATTCTACCCAGAAAGGCCTAGAACTCTTAAAGTGCCACAGCTGAAGAAAAAAGAAACCTCCAGAACCCCTTCAAAGGGAAACCTCACAGAGAGTGCACATGGAAATTCAAAAGGAACATCCTTTGGCCATACTCCTTCTACTCCTAAAGCTTTACTGGCAAAGCAGGAACAAAAGGCGCCATGCCCAAAGCCAGCAGGGGACCTGGCTATATCAGGCGAGTTGACAGGCCATCGGTGGCCTGAGAAACAAGGTGTGACAGAGCCGGAGTGTACTTACTCCTCCAGGACTTTCATTTTCTCTCCTTTCTTGAATGACAAGTCATCTGGGTGGATGCCATCGTAGGGATACAAGGCTACTACAATGTCTCCTTGCTCATCCGGATCTAAAACGAAAACCACAAAAGTTCATCAGCAGAGACACTTTATCAAATCCTCATCAGGCTCCCAGATGAAGCACTGAGGAGAAGGAGCTGGGGTGAGGGTGCAGTTCCTACCACGTGGAGCTCATGCCTACACATCCACAGAAAGTGAACAGAATTGGTTCACTCAAAACAGAGAAGCCCACAGTTACAACTTCCAACTCTACTCTAAACAAACAGAAATATCCAGCAGGACTACTTTAAAGAAGCTCTAACAAAAAAAGAACTATGCAGCTATGAAAACATACCTTTAGTTTGAAACCTCTGTCCAGGCAAAAGCTGAGATTCTGGAACCTATGAGAGAATATTAGTTAGAAAAAACGATTATGTTTAACTTTTCTTATTCACACCATGCTGTATATCATATCATTTTTCTAACAGTAACAAATGAGGTTTGACTTTGGTAAGTGATTCAGGTGGAAGGAAGAGGCATATGGAGAGAAAATAGAGGAGAGCTAGGTCATGATAGACACAGTTTCGAGAAAGCAGCTCTTTCCACTGAAAGCCGCATTTGCCTGCGGTGACAGGAAAGGACTGCGACTCTGGGCAAAGACTGCTAGTTGCTTATCCAATAAGGTCCCTCTCTTTGTTGGTAAGAAAATCTTAATGTTATTTAAGGTAGCAATTTGCTCTGATGACTGTTTTTAAATTTTCTAGACTTCTATGCACATAGGGGAGTCCCGGTGTGGTGCTGTGGGTTAATGCCCTGGACTGCAAAGTCAATCTGAACCACAAGGTTGGCAGTTCAAACACACCAGCCAGTTTCCTCGGAAACCCTATACAGTGTCGTTATACGTGAAAACCGACTCAACGACACTTAACAACAACATGCACAAAGGAAGGAGCACTGATAGCACAGTGTGCAAAATGCTGAGCTGCCATCCTAAAGGTTGATAGTTCAAACCCACCAGCTATTCGGGTGGGAAAAGATGAGGCAATTTGTTTCTGTAAAGATTTACAAACTGAAACCCCCTATGGTGCTATTTTACTCTGTCCTGTGGGGTCACTAACAGTCAGAATAGACTCAACATCACTTTTTTTTTTTTTTTTTTTAATGCACATGGGGGAGGGAATTGGGGGAGATTGTTTCTATAATCAAAGACAGCTGTGTGGAGTCCAGGGGGAGGCCCTGTTTTTCCCCTTACTCTTTATGCCTAGAAACATATGGAGGCTGGAGTCCTAGTCCCATAGAAAGCTGGTGGCAGGACAAGGGAGTGAGAAGGTGGCGATGGAGCTGCCATCAGCCCTGCACTGCTGACCTCCACATTTTCCAGCTTGTTCCAAATCGTGGTGCCTTCTTTTCATCTAGTGCATGCTTGTGTGCCACTGAGTCAATTCTGATTCCTATCAACCACATATAGGGTTTCCAAGGCTGTAAATATTTATGGGAATAAAAACCCTCACTTTCTTTACAGAGAGATAGATTCAAACTACTGACCTTGGGGTTAACAGCTCAGCTGGTAATCCACTATGCTATCAGGGCTCCTTGCTTGTCTAGCGAGGAGCTGAGTTATCAAGAAGGCTTTGGTGCCACTAAAGGCACCTTCAGTACCTTTAAAATCAACTTTCTTTTCTGCCAGTGAAGGAGGTAAAGACATAAGAAGCCTCTCTGCCTCTCTGAAGAAACAGTTAGAGGCATAGATACACCTGCAAATCAGGCAGATTTTTCCATTTCTCTTGTCATAGTATTCAATGGAACGGGACCAGAACAATTTACACTGAAACTTTAATTGCTGACAAACATCAGCCCATACCATCTCCAGTTCAGTCAGGTAGAGAAATTACCACATTGTAGTATCAGAAAATCCATGGGTACTCACTATGCTTCAGTACTTATTTCACAATGTCAATAAAGTAACTGATTTAAAAAATCATGTAGGTTTGCATAATGTATGATCTCTTTCATGGGATTTGAAGGAAATAATTTGAAGGCATGAATCAAAATCATTTTGAAAGCAGCAAACTGAATTTAAAATATCAACAAGTTTGGTTAATAATGTTTTTTATAAGACTAAAACACAGATACATATGCAACTCATACACCATTATTCTTTTTGCTTTAAACTGTCTTTTCCTAGAGTGCTCCTGAGCCCTGGTGGGACACTGTAGGATAAGCACTGGACTGGTAACTGCATGATCAGCAATTCAAACCCACCAGCTGCTCATAGAAACCCTATAGAGGGAACTGACTTGATGGCATATCACAAAAACAGTAGAGTGCTACTGAATTTGTATTCATTCAACCTTGGTGTCTCCTCAGAGTCTTCCTATAATCTCTGGCTTACATTTTCAGCAAATCTGGGAGTACTGGGAATGCTATCTATCACCATAAGTCTGGCCAAGCTAAGAGTGCTCTCCAGGGCCATGCAGCAGCTCACAAAGTGAGGGGACCCGTGACCATAGAGGATACGAAGATATTTATAGTACACATTAGGTAACAGAACAATTTCTAATGTGATTTTCTTTACTTTTTTTAGTATATGGTCTCATGATTAAAAAAATCATTTGGCATTTACCAACTGCCAATTCTGTATCTAAGGAGCTCTGGTAGCGTAGTGGTTACGAATCGGGCTGCAAACCTTAAGGTCAGTGGTTCGAAACTACCAGCCGCTCCGCGGGAGAAAGATGAGGCTTTCTACTCCCGTAAGGATTTACACCCTCGGAAACCCTGTACAGGGTCGCTATGGATCGGAACCGACTCGAAGGCACTTAACAACAACAAATTCTGTATCTATATCTAAGGAGCTCTGGTAGCGTAGTGGTTACAAATTGGGCTGCTAACCTCAAGGTCGGCAGTTTGAAACTACCAGCTGCTCTGTGGGAGAAAGATAAGGCTTTCTGCTCCCATAAAGATTTACAGCCTTGGAAACCCTGTGCAGGGTCACTATGAGTCGGAACCGACTCCACGGTACTTAACAACAACAATAGATCTATATCTATATATGTAAAGAGTTGGGTCCTTAGCAATAGGAAAGATACTCTACTAAATGAATAAGAAGGTGACCAGTGTCTCCACTTTGCACAATAAGTGGCCTAGATATCACTAAAATGCTTACAAGGATTAAGTTACAAAGCATAACAAAATTTATTGGGGGTCCAAATAATCAACATAATTTTCTTGCATGCATAGGTCAGATTGGTTTTTAGACTATGTCAGCCACACTTTGATCCTGCTGTTGGAATTCTTTCCTGAGACTATCTACTTACTGGCCTTTGCTGTTTATTGGACGTTGGATCTCTCACATAAATAGTTCGGTCAGTATTACGTACTGGTTGGGTCTTCATATCTATTCCATCGCCATTCAGATTGTCTTTCCTTTTTGATTTTATACATCCCATATTTCCTGTTGGAATATAAAAGCAATGACAGTTTTTACCATTCTGAACTGGCCTCAGACACCAACATCTCTCTATTAAAGAATAAAAAGAACATATTTATTTTCTATTCCTATCATACATGAACTAACAAACTAGATATCATTTTAAAAATTAGTATCCATATTCACTCATTCAACAAATATTTACTGAACATCAATTTTACATCAGGAAAACATAGTTCCTATTCTAAAGATGCTCTTGTTCCGTGAGGAAGACATGTGAATTAAAATTACAATATAGAATTCTGGGAAGATGGAAGAATAAACAAATAGTTGATCCCACCCTTTTCTATAAATAGAACAAGAAATAGAAGGAAATGGTGCTCGCCTTTGAGGGATTCTGAATCCAGGAAGGAGCAAAGGAAAGCTGCAGGAACTGCAGATAGGAAAAAAAAAAATCAACAAATTGAGTCTTATCCTGATGTGTCACTGTGGGTTAATGTTCTGGACTGCAAATTCGTTTTGTACCGCAATGTTGGCAGTTCAAGCTCACCAGCTGCTCCTCGAAAACCCTATAGAGGGTCACTATGAGTCAGAGCCAACTCAACAGCATTTAACAATGACAACAAATGGTAAGAAAATCTTTTCCTACCGACCCTGCCTTTCCCTCAGCTATGCAGACCACTGTCCACTGTAAACTGGGATAGTAGTGCCCAAGAGCGAGCCCATTTCCCTAACCACCATTACCCTTACCTATACAAAAAGTACCCCAAGCATGTGCTCTAAAATATGCAATGCTGACCTCATGGGGGTTGGTTTGAAGTGTGCCAGCCTCTTCCTCATCTAGACACTGTAGGTTGTAAGCCTACTGAGAGTTGCTACAGAAGGTCTATGCAGATCTGTTCCCAGAGTAAACACTCCACCAGCCTCCCTGCCCAACCCATAGCTCAAGCCTCTGAAACCAATAGAACAGACTGCCCAGGACCAGTGCAGGTCTGTCTGCTCCGCCTTTTCAACAGTGCTGACTGAAGCTGTTGTGTACTAAGAAGCAGGAATCTTTGGTAGAGGCTACACTCACAGCCAACATACCACAGGGAAGGCTCTCACAGCAAAAAGGTAGACCTCCCTGGAAGCCCCTTTGTAGCAATGACAGCCCCTCTTCCAGGGCCCTGCAGTGGGATCTACTCCCATAGTCAGCACTCTACCTGTCTTCCCGTGTATCCCATAGCTCTGGCCTCTGAAACAAAAAAGACCAACGTCCCTGGGGGTCAGCTAGGGGTAGTCTGCCCCCTACTTTAGCTTGGGACTGAGGACTATAATCCCTGTTTTACATATTGGTCACTAGCTTAGTGGTTACGAATTGGGCTGCAAACCTCATGGTTAGCAGTTTAAAACTACCAGTGGGAGAAAGATGAGGCGTTCTGCTCCCATAAAGATTTATAGCCTCAGAAACCCTGTACAGGGTCGCTATGAGTCGGAACCAACTCCACGGCACATAACCACCAGCCAGTACCATACGATATCTCGCCTGACTGACAGTGCTTGCTGGTGCACGGTATCGCCACAACATGGAGAACTGACAGAAAAGGACAGGCAATGGTAAGAAAAAAGTTGAAGGCCCTATCAACATGTCTTAGTTATTGAGTGCTGCTGTAACACTCATTGGAGTCCTGGTCTGGTACTGTAGGATAAGCCCTGGACTGCTAAATGCAAGGCTGACTGTTCAAACCCACCAACTCTTTGGAAACCCTATACAAGGTCGATATAAGTAGGAACCAACTCTACGTCACTTCAACAACAACAACATAACACTCATTATAAATGCCACAAATTTCAACAAACAGAAACGTATTCTCTCAAAGTTGAGGAGACTAGAAGTCTGAAATCACAGTGCTGGCTCTAAGGGACAGATCTTCTCTTGTCAGCTCTAGAGTTCCTTTGTGGGCTCAGTGTTCTTTGAAACTCTCCATGTGTCTAGGTATCAATCTTCCCATGGTTCTAGGAGATCCTCAGTCCACGGACCCCGGGTCCAAAGGACACTCCAGTCATGGCTCATGGGAAGGAGTCAGTTCACTCCCTCTCTGCTCACTTCTCTCTTATTTTATCTCTTGAAACATAAAAGGGGATACCAACCACACCTCAAGGACACTTACCTGATACTGAATCACTGTTGTGACATTCCATCTCAATCCCCTTAAAACGAATTGCTGATCACATCAGATCACATTGTTGGGGGATGAGGAGATCATTAAATAATTAATAAACTACTGAGAATCGTGGCTCAGCCAAGTTGACATATATTTTGTGTACACAATTCAATCTATGACACCGCCTAAGGTGGTGGTGGTGTGCTGTGGAGTCGGTTCCAACTCATAATGACACTGTATAGGGTTTCTGAGGCTGTAACTCTTTATGGGAGCAGAAAGCTTCATCTTTCTCTGGCTTCATCTTTCTTTGGTGGAACCACTGGTAGTTTCAAACTAGCTGACCTTGAGGTTAGCAGCCCGACTCATAACCACTAACTACCAGACCACCTAAGAGTGTCTTTTAAAAAGCAGTGCTGACCAAAACACTAAATACTGGAGATAAAGTTAACACCCTAAACAATTCCAGTGCTTCAACAAAAGAAAAAAACTCACAAGACACAAAAAGAACAGAGAAACTGTGGTCCATCCAAATCACTTCCAAGAGGAGTGAAACTGCACCTAGCACTGCCCAATAATGATAAAATGTTCAGTTGTTAAGAACCATCCAGGAGAACAAACAAGATGGTGGATCGGGTGGACTTGTAGCAGAGAGCTCC